GACATATTGTCAGGAGGGACCAGTCGCTAGAGAAGGACATCATGTTTGGTAAGGTGGAGGATCAGAGAAACCCCCAGCAAGATGGATTGGTAAAGTGGCAGCATCAATGGGCTCAAGCGTGGAAACGATTGTGAGGTTGGCCCAGGATCGGGCAGGGTTTTGTTCTGTTGTGCATAGGGTCTCTATGAGTCGATACTGACTTGATGGTAGCTAACAACAACAACAACAACACATGTCTTTGGTGATAGAACCAATGGTGGAAGTCACATGATAGAATTTTGTAAGACCAACGACTTATTTATTGCAAACACCTTTTTTTAAAAAAACAAAAGACAACTATACACAGGGGACTTCTGGCAAGATGGCAGACTAGGCAGAAACAGTACATGGACCCTCTACGACAAAGACATGAGAGGCCAAATAAAACAGACACATGAAAATTCTAGCATTCTGAATCTCAGAAGATGAGAGAGGTGGGAGGACAGGTTGAGCAAGGACGACGAGACAGGGAGGCAAACTGGTGAATGGCTGGCCAGATGCGCTCAACCATCTTGTGTGCAGCTTTAGATTGAAACAGGTCACAGGAAAGGTGATTTCACCTTTTGTCTCCATGCTCCCTTAGTCACCAGAGGTAGTCAACTCACAGCCCAGACCCTGCTCTACAGGAGTTCAGAGCCAGTGTGAGTTAGGGATCAGCTGAACTGCTTTGGTTGCCACCTTGATGCCTGGATTTAAGTGGGCTTGGCTCCAGACCAATAAAACCTGCATAGGCACCAGACCAAGATTTAACCAGTCACCATACCCCCAGCTCCCCTGGCGGACACTGAAATCAGCTCCATCATGGGCCCCCATATGCTACTACTGGAATGAATTCCCCCAACATTGATGACACTGAGACTAATAGGAACTCCATCAAGGCCAGGGACTCTGCTGTTACATCCTTTCTACAACCACCTTGTGAGCTACTTGAATTGCGGCCACCCCCACAGATTTCTCTTCTCTTGGTCCAAGAACATTTACAAATACAATAATCCCACATTGTTCTGGAGACAACAGAATTTTAGCTCACATGAAGAAATGACAGAATGGCTCAAATGAGCAAGATGCTGAAGCAGAAAACATTTCTGAGGAAAGAAATGTAATGGAATTAATTGAAAAAGAATGCTATTTAGGTACCTTGAGCAGATTGACAGAAAGATGGGGGAAAGGCAAGAACACAGAACAAATGTTAGAAGAATTCAGGAAAATGCTACAAGAACAAACAGACAAAATAAATGTAAATTTTGAAGCAATACAAAACCTGCAAGTAGAAATCCAGATTAATACTAAGATTTGAGAAAAGGAAAATACAATGACAGGGCAAAGGAGACGATTAGAAGCAATAGAAGCCCAAATTAATGATCTTGAAGACAAATCTTTCAATACTAGTGTGCTAGAAGAACAATCAGAAAAAATTGAAAAAATCCAAAGAAAGCCTAAAAGTTAAGTGCATCAGCCCGAAGAGGAATAACTTACAGGTGATTGGAATTCCAAAACAGGAAGAGACAATAAAAAGCACAGAGTAAATTGTGGAAGATTCCGTGGAAGAAAACTTCCCTAACATCATGAAAGATGAGAAGTTGAATGAGCTCCAAAAAGACAGACCCCAAAAGAAAATCAAGATCATAATTTCCAAAATCAAAGAAAAAGAATTCAGTGAGCAGCTCAGGAAAAACAAAAAGTTGCCTACAAAGGAGAACCAGTAAGACTAAGCTCTGATTTCTCAGAAGAAACCATGTAGGCAAGAAGGCAATGGAATCACATATAGAAAACTCTGAAA